TCTCCCCATCTTCTCTCCTCTCCCCCTCCTGCAACCTTACCACCCCCCCTCCCCCCCCCTTTTTTTTGGTTGAAGCTGTAGTTGTGTTTGGCCTTCAACCAATCTCTCTCTGTGAGGCTACAGGCATTGACACCCAGGCTTTATACCTTAGCTTATGATTGCGTTGTTGTGGGCATACTTAGGCAGATACACATACACATACACACGTTAAAGCTCACGCACACAGAGATACACATGTATATGCACATGGATCATTTTTTCTTTATCTTACAGTTTCATGTACTATTTTTGTATCATCTTGCTTTGTGTATAAAGCAGATTGTCACAATCTGTCTTCTTTTCTATTTCTAGGTCCTTTACTGTCATGTTATCAAATATTGCCATATATCAAATGTATATATTGATTAATGTTGTCATTCTCTCTGTCTATATATTTTGTTCTCCATGCACATCTCTCTCTCTCTCTCTCTCTCTCTCTCTCTCTCTCTCTCTCTCTCTCTCTCTCTCTCTCTCTCTCTCTCTCTCTCTCTCTCTCTCTCTCTCTCTCTCTCCCCTCTCTCTCTTTTTCAATCTATCTATCTATCTATCTATCGACCCGACTCTCTGTATATTAGTCGATCTTTCTCTCTCTCTTTCTCAGGTCTCTTTTTATCTATCTACCTGTCTATTTTTGTATACCAATCTCTCTATTTTCCCTCTCTCTCTCATTACCTCATCTACCCTGTATATACAAAGACCCCCCCTTTAATTAAAAAACAAACATGAACACAGAGAACAATAATCCTGTTGTACATAATCAGTACAGTTCTCACCAAGTAACTTTTACACAGGTGTTCTAGGTTATGAAAATCTAGCCGAGCAGCTTAGAAGTGTTCAGATCCGTAAGTACAAGATGACGTGAATGATCATAGTTTCATTTTCCAAGTTGCTTTTGCCTTAATGCGCCATACAACGCGTCGCTTTTCTTATTAAAAATAAATGACTAATAAAAAAAAAATATTATGCAACGAAAGTGATTATTAAATTGCAAGCGATTTGTTTTGTTTTTGTTTTTGTTTTAATAGGTAACGTGCACTGGTTTTCAAAATAAAAAGGATTGCAGTATGTTGCATGGGATTCAGTAATGATGGCCTCGTTTTTTTTTCTTTTCTTTTTCTTTTTTTTCTTTTTTTTAATCAAGACTCTATTGTGAAACGTCCACGAAAACGTAAAAAAACATGTGAAAGGGAATGAAAATATTTCCACAATGCAAAATATGTCATGATTCTGCAACACGGATCAATCGAATCACCATTTTCACATATTGCATTGTTGAAAAAAATTTCCCTCTCCCAAAATTTACATATTTTTACCTTCGTCACAATAAAAGTGTCTTGAACTCAAGGTAAGGCCGATAGTCGTTTGAAATTAATTTTCTAATTAGACTGGTTATGCGTTTTATTCGTTAAAATATACTGAAGCAAAATACTGAAAGGACGAAACTCAGCATGTGATCCTTAATAACCACGCTTATTCCTTTGGCCTTGATATAACGGACATAGTGACATAAACATGAATAAACAGATAAATGGGTAGATAATTGAAGCATACAGTTATGAATGCAAATTGCCATGAATTTATCCTTCCTACCAGCATCTGAGGTGAAGGAAATATTTACCTTTAACGAATCTTTGGAAGAGATATATTGGTATAGTTTAATTAACATTTTTCATTTCTGTGAAAATATGTTAATGATACTTAAAAATATATATATTTGTATATCATAATTTCTATTGCTGCTGAGCGACTTAAATGAAAACGTATATGAATAGATAATTATGTCATGTAGATATTTAGATGAAAACGTATGTGAAGAAATAAATGTTATGTAAAAATCTTTAATTCCTTTTATATTCTTATATTTCATTACTAAGTACATGTATATACAGGAGGTATATACTTTCAAGGACCATGAATGTTTGGGAGCTTTAAATTCTCTTTCTCTCTCTCTCGCTTTCTCTCTCTCTCTCTCTCTCTCTCTCTCTCTCTCTCTCTCTCTCTCTCTCTCTCTCTCTCTCTCTCTCTCTCTCTCTCTCTCTCTCTCTCTCTCTCTTTGACTCTCTCCCTCTCTTTCTCACTATCTCTCTCACTCTCTTTCGCTCTTTTACTCTCTTACTCTCTCTCTCTCTCTCTTCCTCTTTCTCTCTCTCTCTCCCTCCCTCCCTCCCTCCCTCCCTCTCTCTCTCCCAGCCCCCTCTACCCTCCCCACCTTTCCTCCACCCACCCGCCCACCACGCCCACCCGCCGCCCGTGCTCTCTCTCACTAACCCTCTCCCGCCCACCCCAGGTTCTCCCGGTCCCCTGACACCACCGGGGAGTGAGGGCCTGAGCGGGTATCTGGGCGTAGGGCAGGACCACGCCTCGCTCCACACGCCCGCGGTCACCAATACCGCCCACACCGCCTACCAGACCTCCCATCACCACCATCATCACCATCACCATGACCTGGCTGCCCTGCATGGTGAGTACAGTGAGGAGAAAATTGCTGTTTTGTGTTTTGTTCTTTTAATGATTTCTTCTCTTTTCGTGTATGTATATATATATATATATATATATATATATATATATATATATATATATATATATATATATATGGTGTTATTCTGTTTTGTTTTCTTTTGTTTTTGTCTTTTTAACTATCTCACAAGATGCGGTATCTTTTCGAAGATATTTGTCTTTTCGTTATACACTGACGGTATTTTCATTATTTCAAACACGTAAGGAAGTCCGTTTTATGAAGATTTATCAATTAGCATAAACAAATCGACCCTTGTATATTCAAAGAATGTATTATTTTGTTCAAACCTTTCATCACCCACACACACAAACACACACATACACACACAAACAGACAAACACACACACACAATCAAACAAACAAACAAACAAACAAACACAATCAAACCCACCCTCTCACACCCTCAAACATCACCCCCCCTCCCCTCCCCCCCCAACCCCCCTTAAAAAAAATAAAAAGCAAGCAATTACACCTCAAACTTTCGCTTGTGCTTTTCCCCTCTTTCCCTCGTCGTCCGTGAACCGTGACCCCGACGCCCCCTACCGACAAGTGACGACATGAGGGACACGACCCCAGGGCTGCCCGCGAGCTCACCTTACTCGCCCGCCCAGTGCGTGTGTGTGTGGGTGGGGTGGGGGGGGTGAGTGTATGGGGGGGGGGGGGGGTGGTTGTGCGTGTGTGTGGGTGTGGGTGGGTGGGTCTGTGTGGGGTGTGGGATGTGTGTATGTGTGTGTCCCTTGCAAAAAGAGCCTATGTATTAATTAGCTTAAAAATTAAAGTCTAAACCTGTGACTGGCACAGACAAAGAGAGAGAGACAGACAGACATAGAGAGAGCGAGGGAGACAGGCAGGCAGACATAGAGAGAGAGAGAGAGAGAGAGAGAGAGAGAGAGAGAGAGAGAGAGAGAGAGAGAGAGAGAGAGAGAGAGAGAGAGAGAGAAAGAGAGAGAGACAGACAGACAGACAGACATAGAGAGAGAGAGAGAGAGAGAGAGAGAGAGAGAGAGAGAGAGAGAGAGAGAGAGAGAGAGAGAGAGAGAGAGAGAGAGAAAGAGAGAGAGACAGACAGACAGACAGACATAGAGAGAGAGAGAGAGAGAGAGAGAGAGAGAGAGAGAGAGAGAGAGAGAGAGAGAGAGAGAGAGAGAGAGGTAAGAAGATAATTGTGTAAATATTTAGAAAGATGATCAGATATAGTCCAAAAGACGAAGAGGGAGGGAAAGACAGAGATTAAAATTGACGCAACTAATTCTCCTGTAAAATTTAACAGTATAAAAAGTCGTAGATAATGTTATTAGTGCCATTTAGTTTCTCTGACTGGCAATTCGTATTTTGATGTTTTTTATAACTAATTTGTGCTTCAATAATGGTTATCTCTTTACATATAATTTGTCAAAGGTTTATAATGTTGATCGTAAACTTAAAAAAAAAAAAGTTATGCAAATTTTAAACAAAGATCAAATTAGAAAAACCTATATGAAAACACATTCAAATAATTCCTTTACACAAATGAAATGGTGAACTTAATAATAACCTTCCTTCAAAGCCCAATTCAACCTAAAGTTTTATTTAGATGAAAATGTTGATTATAGTCGCTACAAATCCTTATCAGAGACTGACGGAACAATAGATATTAAAAGCTTAATTTTCATCTCCCCAAAATTGGCCTTTCTCTGTGTGTCTGTGTGTCTCTCTCTCTCTCTCGCTCTCTCTCTCTCTCTCTCTCTCTCTCTCTCTCTCTCTCTCTCTCTCTCTCTCTCTCTCTCTCTCTCTCTCTCTCTCTCTCTCTTTCCTTCGTTTCCAGCCCTGTCCCGGGTCGGGTCGCCTGGGCCGCGAGAGGCGCTCGCGTTGACGGCCGTTGACAAATTACGCGCCAAAACAAGTGACGGCCGAGATGCGCGAAGAAAGCCATACCCTCGTAATTAATTATTTTTCTTATCCTTTGACGAGCGCGTTGATAATTAATATTTCATGTAACTTGTCTGGTTTCAATGAAATATATGTCTTTTTTAGTTGACAATCCATCAGAGATTACCAAATTTGCGGTAAGACAACACTATAGTGAGGACAAACCGACCTCACTACAAAGATTTAAATATCTAAGAAACCATAAAAACATAAAGAGAAAATAGGAACCGAAAATCAAAGCAATGAGTATGCCAAAAAAGTAGAATAAAAACGAAACAATAATAAAAAATAATAATAAAACAACAACAACGTGCGACCAATATATTAAAAAAATGAAAACAAAAAACAAAAGAAGGGAAGTAAGCAAAATGAAGAGAGGAAAAATTACCACCCAAGGGAACGAGAGATTAGCGAAGACAAGCTAGTTTCCGCACGCCACGCTGATCGGTTCTAGCGTGGGAAACCGATGGCCGTGGTCTGCCGCCTCCAAACATGCTCAGAGATTAATGGATGTCAACGAAATGGAGGAGTGAGA